AATTAGTATGTACGGGTGTTGTATTTATATGATAAATACTTACTCTGAAAAATTTTAAATTCCGCTGCTTAAAGCCCGTACGGTACTAGCGAACCCAACAGTTTTAACCGGAAAAAACCGTCAATTCGGACCGCGGATCGGTTAAATAGTCAGTTAAAAAAGCCTTAAAAAATCCGGTGGTTAATTTTTTTAAAAATCCAGAATAACCGGTCCGGTTAACGGATTACCTGCGGCAAACCGCCGGTTTAACCGGACCGGACCGGTAAATATTAAAAAACTATAACAAATATATATATACATTCAGTCATTCACTATGGCCGACAAATACAATACATTCACTATGAATGCTTTGCTCTTATTATTTCACGTGTATAAACTGACTGAAAAATGAATGTTTGCTTGAGTTCAGTTTGCATAATTAATCTTCATCATTTTTGTATTTTTATGTTTATGGGAGGAAATGTGCATTTTTATGCTTATGAGACGAATTGTGTACTTTTTATTTCATTATTGTTGTTTTTCTTAATTTTTAAGCCCAAATAATCTCTTTAGGACCCAAAATTGAAAAACAAAAATTAAGCCTAAAATGAAAAAAATAAAAATTGAAGGCCCAAAACAAGTTTTGGATTTAACCGGTTAACCGCCAAACCGGACCGTCCAATGCAGTCCAGATTGTGGTTGGTTAAAAAATAAAACCGGTCCGGTTATGGACAAGAAAAAAAATTAGCTATTAGGTCCGGTTTGGTCATGGTTTGGGCTAAAACCGGACCAATCCGGACCGTGAACACCCCTAATAGGTCTTGGCATGTTCTAGTCCACATAATCTCAATCAATATATCTTTAGTTAATTGGTTAATGGGGATAATTAAATATATTTAATCTAATATATTAGATATATATACTTAGGTAAAAAAAAACTAAAAGTTTGGGGGGACCATATATGTAGATCCGCCCATGAATGATATACATACTTTCAGACTTAAAGTCATTCTTCGAAAACAAAAATATGATATTTCATAATATATACATGCATTTATGTTAGAGATGTATAATGGAGTTACCCGTCTAATGATTAGGCCACCTCACATGAGAATTTGTGTAACATTTTTTTCTTATCATGTTAATGCTAATGCTATACTTGGTGTTTTTCTGGCTCACTTGCAATTAAGCAATCAAAATGAAGCCAAAATAATGTATTTGAATTCTGAATTTGAACCAAAAGAATGATTATTGTTATTATTATGATTATTTTTTTTTTTT